GGCCTGGTGGTATGCTCCTGTAATCCCAGGACTTGGGAGGCTGAAAATAGGAGGATCACTTTGAGTCCGATCTGTGTAGTAAGACCCTGTAGATCCTGTACTAAATACACAAAAATATTTTAAAAAAGAAAATTCAGCAATCTTTTAACAAATAGTGTTGGATCACCTTGCTACTCATACACAAAGCATTATCTTCACCATAAACCCCACTTTATTCTAAAAAAAAAAAGGAACTCCAAATGAATCATAGTAAAAATGTAAAGCTATGAACATGCAGAGGAAAATATAGAAGAAGAATTTCACGACTTGGAGTTAAGTCAAAAGTTTTTAGACTTGACCACCAAAAGCCTGATCCATAAACATAAAAATCTAGTAAATAAGATTTTATTGAGACTTAAAACCTTTGCTTTATGAAAGATACAAATGAGAAAAAGCTACAAATATTCATAGCTCACAAATTCAAAAAAGGACTTGTATTTAAAATACATAAAAGTCCCTCATAACTTAACCATAAGAAAACAAATAATAGATTTTTAAGCTCCAGGTACAAGTGGGGACAATATAAGCAAAATCTATTTATTATATACAGCAAACACCCCCAAAATGTGAAAGGGGGAGAGTGGGGCAAGGAGGACGATGGGGTGAAAATGATCGAAATATGTTATATGCATATATGAATCTGCTAAAATGAAACCCATGACCTCATGAAATGAGCAAGTTGAGTACCATGGGATGGATTTTTTTCAAAGCAATTGACATGTATGCTATTTTATAGTCGCAGCAACTGGCACACATGCTTATAGTCCCAGCTAGTTGGAAGGCTGAGAGGCTGAGAGAAGAGAACCACTAGAGCTCAGGAGTTCGAGACCCACTTGGGCTACATAGTGAGTCTCTGAGATTAAAAAAAAAAAAAAAAAAAAAGAAATTAAAAAAAAAAAAAAAAAAAAAGGCAGGGTCCAGGGAGATAGCTCAGTAGAATAAGCACTCGCCTGGCAAGTACAGGGTCCTGAGTTCAATCCCCGGTACTGGAAAAAACAAACAAACAAACAAAAAACCCACCTAAAAACCATTAGGTAAACAAAAAGAGAGTTTGAATGGTCATTTCATCCACTAGATTATTTATATGGCAAATAAGCATTTGAGGAATTCCCCATGTTATTAGTCTCCAGGGAAATGAGAATTAAAACTATTATGAGACACTACTACAGATGTGCTAGAGGGCTCTGGAGAAGCAGACCGACCTGGCGACGTTAGGTGTGGGTGAAGATGGAGAGCACTAGGTCCCTCATGCTCGGCTGGTGGGAGTGTGGTGATCCGTCCTGTAGGAGGTACAGCTCAGCAGTCCTTTGCACAGCTAAACGGCCATTCGCCTCACAAGCCAGACTCCCACGCCCAGGTGCTCACCCCAGAGAAAGGGGCCTCCCATTTTCTCCATTGGAATAACCAGGGCAACTGTTCAAACACCGAGACACAACCCAGACCCACTGAGTCAGAATCCCCGGGGGGTGCAGCTGGCATCCGGTTTTTTAACAGCCACCCCACCATGTGTGTGTGTGTGTGTGTGTGTGTGTGAGAGAGAGAGAGAGAGAGAGAGAGAGAGAGAGAGAGAGAGCAGCCAGTGTCTGCCCAAGGCCTCCACACCCCTTATGCCACTGCTCCCTTCTATTCAGTGGCCCCCGTAGTGAGGAAGACAAAGCCAATCCCAATCAGACCTAACCTTCTCAGGACAGGTAGTGATCAATCTAACCAGAACCTTTCAGGAAACCATGAGAGAAAAATGTAAGGGCAGGCCAAGCGTCTGGGGGGTGAGGCTCAGAAGGCCCTGCAAAGAGTGTGTGTCTGAGCTGAGATCGGAAAGCTGACAAAGGCCGGGTAAGGCAGAAGAGCCTCACAGGCACAGACTGGGTGAGAGCACAAGCCCCAGAGGACTCTGGGTGAAGAGCACCCTTTCACTGGGACTTTGAGCTAAGCACCTGTGGAACTCCCCCCCCACCCTCAACTGCCACAGGTGCTTTTGAAGGTAGAGGAAGCAGGGTTTATTGGTAAGGGATTTGAGAAAACCTGGATGTGGCCAGGCGGGGATTGGATCCAGATTTCCTGGGAACAGTGTGTGTGTGTGTGTGTGTGTGTGCGCGCGCGCGCACTCCTGCCTGGTCAGCTGCAAACCAACTGAAGAGCTGCCCTCACCTTTCCTGTTTTCTGGTGACCTCAGGTGACAGCTGTTTGCTCCCTATCTTAGGGGCCTAGCAGCTAAGATCAGGAGGTGGCTGGGCTGGGCTCCTGTGCCCCTGCCCTCTCCACTGCCGAGATGGGGAGGAACTCGCTGGGGATGTAGCTTTCTGTGCTTATGATGAACAATCACACCTCTGTGCCTTAATTTTCTTTTCTGCAAAATTCGATGATAACAGCCAGAACCCCAAAGGGTTGCTGGGAGGGCCAAGTGCCGCAGGATCCCAGCAAGGAGGCAACACCAGGCTCAGCTCCTGCCTGTCCTGCCGCTGCTGAGGGCTGCAGGGTGCTAGGGCTGCGGGGTGCTAGTGGGGCTGCCCGCCCGGCCGGCCGCACGGAGGGAAGCGGTCTCGGCTGACAGCTGCAGCCTGGTGGACGCTGGCTGGGAACCTGGCAATTCGAGTCCACCTTCCTGAGATGCGTTTTCAATCTGCATTTTCAAAATCAGTTTCTAATGGTCATAAGGGAACGTGACTCTGATCAAACAGACAAATCCAAGCGTACTTCAATACCAACAGCAGAGAAAAACCAAACAGCGAACTCCCTGCGCGCGCGGGTGAAAGGCAACCAAGTCCCAGCTCTAGGAAGGCCGCCAGCCTCGGGAGCCCAAGCCCGACCCTCGGGGCGCCTCTGCCTTGGGGATGCTTCAGACTGCTCAGTAAGTTGCCGGGAGTGTTCCAGGTGCGGCGTCGGCAGAGGGCTTCGGGGACAGATGTAAGTGACGGTGGGCGGAGAAATTCTCTAAGCTCACCGGGTGGCTGGGAGCTCTTTGCAGAGACCCAGTAGGGACCGGCGTGTCCGAAACGCCGGGAATCCTTCTCGCTACTGGCGATTCTCACGCGAGCGCTGGCCCCGTGCGGCCACTCCGGCCCAGGACCCCGGGGCCCCGGCCGCCAAGCCGCGCCGATGACAGAGGGAACCCAGCGCGTCTCACCGAAAACAGCCCCGAATCCCCAGCCTAAGCATGAAGGTGGGGTGCCCCAGCCTTGGCGTCGCCCCCTGCTGGGAGACCGGGAGGCGGCGGCGGTCGCGGGGGCGAGGGTGGGGTGGGGACACCGACCTGGGAAGCCCGCGACTCGGGCCAGGCGAGCAGCAGCAGCAGCAGGAGGACGAGAGCGCGCGGGCAGCCGGGCCCCATCTTGCCAGTCTGAGCTTCGCGCGGGAAGCGGAGAGAACTCGGTGCGCCCGTCCTGCGCGCGGGTCCCCGCCGTGCGTGGTCGCTGGGGTGCAGTGACGCTCGGGGATCGGCTCCGCCCGGACCAAGCGCGCGGGCGGAGGCAGAGGCGGAGGCGCAGTCTCCGGCCAGGTGCGCGGCGCGCCAGCCCCGGGACACCAGCGGCCACGAGTCCGCAGCCGCTTGCCCCAGACGGTCCCCGCGAGGCGGGAGGCGCCAGCCCCTTGGCCAAGGCCGGCGGAGGAGGGGCTGCCCGGCCAGGAATGCGCCTGGGAGCGCGCCCAAGCCGCGCGACTCCCGGAGGAGGCCGGGCGCGACGCCGAGGACGAGTGCGGGCATCCTCGGCTGTCGCTGGACCCGGAGCCCACCCTGCGCTGGGCCACTCCCAGCTGTCCTCATTCCCCCAAGGTTCCAAGGTTCCAAGTCACCCAGTGACCGTGGCAGAGGGAAGGAAGATCCGAGCCTAGGGCTGCCCCATTTCAAAACCCCGAAGAAGCCACGATCCTCTACAACACGCAAAGACTGCTTCCAGTGTGGCCAGGAAGGACACGGGCTTCCTAAACTTAGCCTAAGTGCTCCCTCCGAGGGGCCCAGTGTGTGGGAAAATAACCCTGCGGGGCTTTAAGAGAGCACAGGACAAGGATCTTAAAATTGACAGCCCCCCCCCCACACACACACTTTGGGTCTCTTTCTCACGAAGACACTGTTTAAAAAGTAGATCCAATCCAAGACCCCAGCTCAAGTGGTATTTGAACTTCTGGGCAGGATAGGCAGGCGCGGTCAGAGGCCCTTGTACTACGGGACCGGGAACCTGCATGCCTAAAACTTAAAGCTCCTGTAGGGTGCTTTGGGTTCTTCCTGGAAGGTTTGCGGAAGGCAGCCCTGCGCATGTCTGACACGCACCACCCCTGCTCAAGCCCCAGATCCCTTTCTCCTTGTCCACATTTCACCCAGAAAAGTTCACTCAGGGTAGGAGGAAGGGCACCCCAAGGCTACATACAGCCCACGAACAGAAACACTGTCCCCTGGCTAGGCAAAGGGAAGCTGGCATTCCCCATTTGCGACCCGATTTGCATGAACACCAGCAGTGTCCCTTTCTGCAGTTCCCAAGGCTGGCAGTCCAAGACTAAGGCTGGTTTGGTGTCCAGCGTGTGCCTTGCTAGTTCATCTACAGCAGCTTGCTGTGTCCTCCCCGGGCAAGACACAAGGTCTCTGCCCAGGGCCTCCTTTATAAGAACATGACACCAACCCCACTCATGAAGATGGGACACTCATGACCTAATTATCTCCCCGAAGCCCCACCTCCTAGTACACCTTGAGGGCTAGGTTTCAATATATGAATTTGGGGAAAACACAAACTTTCAGGCCATAGCTAGCCCCTGCAAAGCACAGGCTGGCCACCAAAGCACTGACTACCTAGGAAGTCCTTCTGTGGTCTCCCTCCCACCCCCAGTCCAGGAAACAGAACAGGGCCTGTGTGTTATGGTGACCCTGCCCTAGGGGTGGAGCCAGGGCCTCATGCACGCTGGGCAAGAGCCCAGGACCCACGCGATCTCCATTTGCATTCCTGGTTGAGTATCCTCAAGAGAGACCTGGTCAGAACACTGCTGCTCCCTGTCCAGGTGGAGAGGCTGTGACAGCTGTGGCCCAGTCCAGGGCAGGCTGCTGAGCCTGTGGTTTCAGTTTGCTGTCTTTGCCAGAAGCCCAGCATTCCCCCTCCCTGGCTGCCCTCGCCTCGGAAAATGAAAGGTTTCATTCTAGCCAGTGTTTATTTTGTGTCTTATTCCACCTTGTGCTTCTGCTCCGGGCTCCTCTACCAGTCTGGCTGTGCACTGGGCACCAGAACTGGGTGGATATGAGAAGTCCTCTTCTCTCTCTTGCCTTTCTGAAGAGTCCTTTGGTTGGAAAAGACTCCAGGGCTCACAGGGGAAGAAACTGAAGCCAGGTCGGCTATGGCATTCGGGCCCAGGTATACAAACTAAGGTCAAAGCCCTGAGCCCACTTCCCCGGAGCAGCCCTACTTCCCGGAGACTTTGGTGCTTATATGGGATCCACAGTCATAGGACTGCAGGGATTTTATTGACAGGAATAGATCTTTCTGCTTCCTTCCTTCTTTTCAAGTGCTTCTACATTTCAACAGGGATTTTCACTGTTAAGTTGTTGTTGCTCATATTTATTATTTTCATTTGTCACCCTTGCCCTCTGGGTGCCTGCCATTCCATGCTGTGGCATCTGTTCTGAATTAACCTTCCGGCGAGTGACTGCCTCTTCCCTCTGTGTCCACAGCTGCCTTGGATCTGCAGTCCCCGAGCGGACTATCTGCAGTTCAGAACCTGCCAAGGCTGGCGACCCCTTGATAATAAGCTGGGAGTGCCACATTTTGGACTCCAAAGACTCACCTTGGACCTAATACAATGAGTTTGTCAGCTGTATTATTCCTTCTGTTTCCTCTCTAGTTTTCAAGAGAACATCCTGGATTTCTGGGAGGTTGGTTTGGTCATAGTCATGCATCTGAAGGAAATAGTTAGGCAGGTATCGGGCAGAACTGATGGCCACCTCTTGGGACCGCTGCTCTGAAACACTTGTGTTCTTCGTGTAAAGCAGGAATGCAGTGCAAGAGAAGATGGGTCAGGGCTGGGAAGATAGCTCAGTAGAATAAGCACTTGCCTGGTAAGAACAAGGTCCTGAGTTCAATCCCCAGTTCCATCCAAAGAGAGAGAGAGAGAGAGAGAGAGAGAGAGGATGGCTACAAAAATTTGCCTTTAAAACTAGACAGAACCCAGGTGTGACAGTGCACACCTGTAACCCCAGCTCTTGGGAGACTGAGGCAGGAGGATTACCACAAGGTAGAGCTGAGCCTGAGCCACACAAGGTGTTCAGGGCCAGCCTGAAATACAGAGAGATTCTTGCTGTCAGTGCCCCCGGTTGCTGCTTCTCTCCTTTTCCCTTCTTCATCTGGCATCTGTCCGGGTCCCTGAATACCATCAGCCCCCACAAGCACCTGTGAAGCATCTTGGGACAAAGCCCAGCATGTTATCCTGAGCAGGATAAGCATAGGAAGAACAGGGGATAGGACAGTTACTCAGCAGGACAGCAGTGACTTCACCCAGGTCGTTCATTGCACAAATGTTTACCAAGCGTCAACTCCAGGCCAGGCCTGGACGGGTTACTATATTCCAGTTCCACCTTTTACCTGGAACTTTCAGCAACAAAAGGCAGTGGTGCACTGAACATGGAGAAGTCTGTCTGCTCGGTATTATGTCCAGCCAGTCAGAAGAATGTACTTTTCCCCAGAAAAACCACTTCTACTTTTACAGGGTAGAAGCCTGTAGCAACAGATTTCCTTGTGCCATGTGTACCAAGCAGCAGGTAATATCTGCTATGGGAGTGAGTCTTTGGAAATCCACACATGCCACTCCACAGTGGAGTCCAAATACTTGTGGAAAGGGCAGGTGGTCGGGGCAGTCAGAAACACATAGCCCGTGGCCAGGCGGTGCTGCGTGCCTGCAGTCCTGGTGCTCTGGGAGGCTGAGGCAAGACGGTAGCAAGTGTTAGTGGAGTTTGGGCAATTTAGCGAGACTCTGTCTCAACACTGAAAGCAAACACATAACCCTTCCCTGCATGCTGCCGCTGCAGCCTTGCACCTCTCCTAACCTTTGAAGGCCTCATCTGGGAATAAAGTAGCAGAATTATTGTGCGATTTCCAAGTAATAAAGTGCCTAGCAACAGTCGGCCTAAGCAGGTGCTCAGGTAAAGGGACACTGTTCAGTGTACTCAGCTGGCCACAGTGTGAGCAGGGAGCCAACACCTCTTGAAGCTACTGAAGGCCAATCGCTCTGCCAAGCGCGGCACGCACATGCGCATTTAGCCTCCTGATGACCCAATGGCAGCCCACTTCCTATTCCCCTTTCATAGACTGGAAAACTGACATTTCGAATGTGTAGGTGACCCAACGTCAGACTGCACTGCTGAACAACTGACAAACAAGAGAACCTGGGTAGAGGTGGAAGAGAACCTTGTTTGCTAACTTCGTAACTTTTCTGTAAGTCTACATTAATCCATGAATAAATGTGCATAATTTGACACTTTCATGTTATAAGTTGGTAGTGAGAATTTTTTCCACTGTATCTAATTTGTCAAACTTATTGCCATAAAATAGTATTTTCTTCCTGACTTTTCCAGTGTCTATAGTCTGTAGTGAGAGCCCCTATTTTACTCCTAATGTGAACAATTTATGTGCTCTCTCCCTCTTTTTTCCTTTCATTTATTTTATGCTGAATTTATTCCTATGCCATGTTTTTGTTTCTTCTGAGATCTTTTTTTTCTGTATTTTTAGGGAAGGGCCTACAGGGTATTCAGGGTCCCACTACTAGATAGGACTCGTAGTGATCCTCCTGTTTACAGCCTCCCAAGAGCTGGGATTACAGGCGCACCAGCATGCCCAGTCTCAGTTGCCATCTCAGCATGCCCTGGGGGCAGGGTCAGCATGGCAGGCCTGGGGATTGAACTCCCAGCCCCTGCACCTGCTTGCAGGCACTGTAATCTGCTGAGCTATTTGGCCAGCCCTGAAATAGCTTTTTCTGCTGTGCAACCTTCTGTTCTGATCTAAGAGGTATTCGTTCTTAATTATTTGGTTTTTTGAGAGTCTCACTAGGTTGTTCAGGCTGGCCTTGAACTTATTCTGTATCCCAGCCTGGCCTCAAACTTGTGGGGATCCTCCTGCTTCTAACTCCAGAGTACTGGGCTAACAGGGGTAGACCACCATGCCCAGTTCATTGTTCCTTTTTAAAAGGACAATCTCAAGGGGTGTTGCCAAGCACATGTATGGGTCCACCGGCCACAAGCTCTGTAAGTGTGGTGGTGAAGCTTGGATGTTGATTCAGTGGCCAGGGAACCCACATCTAAAGTCCCAAGCTCGGCTTTTCTCGCTGCAGCCTCACACACGTGCAGCCAAACTTTGGCACTTCGGGGCCAGTGGCCCTGTGTCCAGCCGCACTCTGGCCCAGGTACCCAGACCAGTTCCACTGCTGCAACATACCACTTCTTTTGGGTGACATCTTTCAGTCAGTTAGTGGTTTTTTAGCAATGCATACCCTTGGGTGCCTGGGCGGTTCTCAAAGTGAGCCCAAACCTCTTGCTTTTCATGATTTTGTGGGGTTTTCTGGGTCAAGAGTGTAGCGAACTATTTCCACAG